GGACAAGGCTTAGCACTATTCGTCAAACTGATATGTACTGGTAGTAATGCAACTTTATTCAAAATATCATTGATCTTTCACATGAAGTTCCTTTCAAACTGACTTAAGCAGAAAACTTAACATTGAAAATTGCTAAGTAATTCAAAGTCACTGGACCTAGGTGATAGGGCTTAGAAATAGTCGTCTTACTGATATACACATGCTATTTTCTTAGGTCAGAAACATTTATTCGTTAATCTGAGCATAGAACTTATACTTTATAGCACGGTCTGTAAATGTTATCACATACGAAGAAAAAATGAGATAATTTATTTTTCCACTCTGAGAAAAATTGTGTTGTTTGTGAGTTTAATATACGTGTTCTCGGTAATGAGTAACACGCAGTAGTCCATCATGCATTGCAACTTATTCGCTGGATTGGTCAATGACCCAGGTAAAGCTAATTGGGTATTATAAAAATATAAAAACATATTAGAAAAATCAAATATTTGTATTACATAATTTTAGTTTTTCTTGCTTGCTATGCTTTTTCTTATTACATATAAATTATTAACAATAATTTTAGTTATGTCATACTCATTAAATGTAAACATAAATGTAAACTTTTCCTCATCAGACATTTGGTCGAAAGATGGGACTATACTCTCTACTTTCCGAAAAAGTGTTTGCCTACGTTTTTGTTCTAAAATTTGACATTAAAAAGCAAAATGAAATTCATCTTCAACCCATCATGGGTTAATTTACGGTGTCTACCCTGTTCAATATTTAGATTACTATTACTTAATCTTATTTTAATCAAATAAGATATCATGTATCTGTCTAAATCTATTATTAAAAAAAAGATTCTAAATTGAAATCATTTTTTATTTTATTTTCTGTATGTTCTTAGTTTGTTTCCATTAGAGTTATTCTGGTCATTAGAAAGACTGACTTTCCAGAAATCTATATATCTGTCAGCTAATTTATTCCCTACAGTATTACTCAGTCGTTTTTTAGAGAAAGTATTTTGATTTTTCCATAAATGATTTAACACTATTTTTGAAAGAGCATTTTTTAATTTTGCGGCAAAACCATTCTGTAAATTTAAACTACATGTATAGGCAATTGAAGCATGAATATATATTTTTTGCAGTTGGTGCAACTTTAAAATCATCAAGATAAATGGACTGCATTGACCCAGTATAATGAAAGTATACAAGTGTTTCCTCAAAATTGGCTGTAGGCCAACATGTGTTCTACAAGGATCACCAGTCCTTCAACTTTCATCTGATACCTTAATTACTAAAATATATTCTACATAGTTTTATATTAACCCCTATGCGTAGGAACTATTTTGTTTTAAATATGTACTACTTTCCAGTATATTCTTTTTTTACCGGGCCCGATTTTTTTTTAATAAACCTGCGGAAGCTCTACTGTTTATGTTACGTATTCCATTGTCTAACACGAGCCCACATCACAAATTTCATCAGTCGCTTCTTTTGAATTTTAAAATACAGATAAATAAGCGAATCAAATCAGGGACTTTCTATACTAACGGGACTGGTCACTTATAACGATGTCTATACAAACTTTCAAACAGAACTGTGCCGCCGCTGATGTCACGTGACTTTATAGTAAATCATTTCATATTTACGAAATGTTCTTCATAACTATATCTTCAAGTTTAATGAAGTAACATGTGTATGACATTTAATACATTTTGTCATTGCAAAATGCTGCTTTTGAAAACATTCCTCGGATAGTTTTTTTAAATATAGATCTTTGAACTTTGAGGCAATTTGTTAGTAAATTTCGAGTGGTCGCCATCTTGTTTGATTTGTAACCCCTTTTGAACGACTGGAGTGTTCTTAAAAACGATATGTCTCAGTTTAATAATTTAACATTCTTTTATAATCTTATATTTTTGGCCATGGTAAATGGTATTAATAAGATTTTATATTAACACATATTAAATTAAAATATGCTTTCCCTTAGTTTATTTATTTTGTATTTACATTGTGTCATAGGTCAAATTTATTTGTTTAGTGTATGTTCAATGGTGTTAAAATGTCCTTTGATTGAGTTAAGCTATTTCAGTTGATATTTTATGGTGTGTCTTTCTATGTTGTGATGTTACACTATTGTTTCAGGAAAAAGGGTGTAGGTTTGGTACCATTAAAACGTTTAAACCCGCTGCATTTGTTTGCACCTGTCCTAAGTCAGGAATCTGATGTTCAGTAGTTGTCGTTTGTTGATGTGGTTCATAAGTGTTTCTCGTTTCTAGTTTTTTATTTAGATTAGACCGTTGGTTTTCCCGTTTGAATGGTTTTACACTAGTAATTTTTGTGGGGCCCTTTATAGCTTACTGTTCGGTGTGAGCCAAGGCTCCGTGTTGAAGACCTTACTGTGACCTATAATGGTTTACTTTTATAAATTTTGACTTGGATGGAGAGTTGTCTCATTGGCACTCATACCACATCTTCTTATATCTATATATAGTTTACAACAGATAAACTTTAATCATATGTTTTACTAAAAAAGATTCAATCAGCTTTGATAAACTTGTAATATAGGTTTTATAACCTGCCTTGTAAATTAGTGTATGCAGCAGTTTTGCTTGCAAGGAATGTCGCAATGAAAGAGACAGGTTAATAAACACCAAGGGATGACCGATGTTTCCTGAAAATGGGGTCACTTGGGCTTTTGAGGGTATACGATACGTTTTGAATGTTTTCTTTACATAAGCATGCTCTAAATATGTGTAACAATTCTTTGAAAATATTTCATTTTTATCAGATTTCCATACTTTAAGAAATAAACCGGCAATTTAAAAAAAAATCATCGGTGATTTGTTCATATTAATTAATACAAATAATCTTCTTACATAGTCAAGCCAAATGTCATTGAAAAAAAGGGGGTCCATGTACTCGTTGTTTTCAAGCTACTGGTAAAAATCAGTCGAATATCCACCTCTTTCCCATATGTCACAGTTTGACGTCGTGAAAAATAACATTTTACGTTGACAAAGTCATTACGTCTGTATCGTATGCCCTTGTTAACGTCGGAAGTAAAACGCATGGTCCGTTTGGATGTTCAGGATGTGTAAATACAACGATCAGTCGGAATAGGGTGGTTAAATCTGGTGCTCCGTGTTGGGTGAATATCACGCTCTCTGCAAGTTGTATCCTTATAGTTATCTGTTTGTAGTTTTCGTTGTATCCTTTTCTAGCATACTTCTTTTTACAGGAGTGGTCAAAATTACCAGTCTCAGACTCTCTAATTTGTAGGAACCCTTTCAGCTTTTCTCGCCCTCAATATGCATAAAATATTTGTCACTGAACATTAAGGAAAATACTACAATAATTCATCCATGTTTTCAACATTAGATATTAATATGTTTAACTTTATATTGAAAGTACAAAATGTTTGTCACTGGACATTTAGGAAAATACTACAATAATTTATCGTTGTTTTCAACATCAGATATTGATATGAATCATAATTTGAGATATATCATGATGTGGGTCTGGATGGGGGTTCTTCATTTCCGCATTTTTCAATTTTTTTCCGCCATTTTCCTCTATTCTTGATAAATTTTGCCTATTATTATAGATATTAAGATATCTTATATAATCTAGTTTTTTTTAAGATATGATTATCTCATTATTCTATAAGATATATTATATAGTTTATAAGATATATCATATATTTGTAAGATATCTAATATAGTTATAAGATATCTTACAAAGAAAATTATATGAGATACTTTATAAATTATATGAGATATCTTATAAACTATATAAGAAATCTTATAAACTATATAAGATATCTTATAAACTATATCAGATATCCTATAAACTATATCAGATATCTTATAAACTATATCAGATATCTTATAAAGTTTATTAGATATCTTGAAGAATAAATAGTAAACGGGCTTGCCTTAGAAGTACACTATTCTAAGTGAATACAAAACGAGATAAAAAATTGAGATTGCAGGAAATTTTGGTATCCACACTCTTCATAAAACATTGACTGTGTTTCAATAAAACAACTTTAACTAAACTGTAGTACCTAATACCATTGCGTACATTTACGTCTTATTTCAAATTATTTGTTGCGTTGTTTCATAGCAAAAGAGAGTCGAAAGATACCAAAGGGACATTCAAACTCATAAGTCGAAAATAAACTGACATCGCCATGGCAAAAATAGATAGACCAAAATACAAAACACCACAAAGAAACATAAATATGAAGCAACACGAACCCCTCCAAAAACTGTGGGTGATCTCAGGTGCTCCGGAAAGGTAAGCAGATTCTGCTCCAAAAGACGAACCCCACTTTCACTATACAAATGTGGAGACAGGGGTACCAACTTGTGAGCTATATCCTACAGTTTATGAATTTTTATTGTCCCTGTGATTTTGTTTTAGATTTGTATACCATTGGAACTTCATCATGTTCATACAGGTGATACGTCAAAACATTAGATTCAGTGTATGTCGTCAACAAAATGTACAGACTATACTTGAGTTTCATTTGAAACACAGATAGTTATAACCTTTACTGAAAACAACTTTTGGCCTCAAACCAAGCTAATAATTTTAAATTATTTTTTATTCTTATTAATCTGATTTTAAAGTGTATAAATATTTGTCAAAATATAAACCTGAAAAAGTGATTAATTAGTTCAAAGCACCTTTTATTCAAACACCAAGAAGACAGCATTTTCTTTCATTCATCAAATACATGGAGCGTCAGTAATGGAATAACATAACATTAGCAACAAACGAAAAACGTCAAAAAGACAAACAACAGTACACAAAACTCAACATAGCAAACTTAAGAAAGAGCAACACGTACTACACCAGAAACTGGGGGTGATCTCATGTGCTCCGAAAGGGTAAGCAGATCCTGCTCCGCATGTTGCACATCTATGCTATTTGGTCTCTGGTGGATAGTGTAATGGAAATGTACAAAGGAGAAAATAAATAAAAACGATATGTAGAACAATTGAATTAAAAAAAAATAATGATATCAATTTATTTCAATGGTATCACTATGTTCAACCAACCACACTTGCACCACCTGAAAAATATAAAGTAATAATGAACCGTTAAATATTATATATGAATGTTGTTGAGTTGACCTATTTTAACCTTGGGACTTTGAAAAATTTTATAAAATCAGCTAGGTGTTTAGACAGTATGAGTAATAACATATGATATATGACTTCAAGTTTTGTTCCAGATTGAAATCATGTAACCTGATTATCGACTTCTAGGACATTAAACATTAAGAAATGATATATTCTGCTTATTTTCTACATTTATAGTAGATTTGGAACCAAGTTATAGGAACAGAAGTATAGTAATTAGTTTTAAGAACCAAATGCATGCTAACAATACATTTAATATATATCAAATTCCTGGATGTGTTATTTTCATAGTTTATTCCTGATTCCAATTCGCCGTCAGTTTATCATCCTGTATGTGTTGTATTCATAGTTTATTCCTGGTGCTAATTGGCTGTCAGTTTCTTATCTAGCCAGACTCTGTTAATGGAACCGTTGTTACCGATTGCAAGGCTTTACAGACATGATTCAAATGGTACATTTTGATTGGGAATAATGTTATTGTGCTAAATTGACTTTAACATATTGTTGTTGTCTAATTTTACTAGTGCTGTCCTTTTCAATTTTTGACACCTTCTAAAAATATGTACTTTTACCTCCAAAGATGTTGGTCTGGGGCGCAAATAATTAAGGTTTTCCCCCAAAACCACGGCTAGTCAGATAGTGCTTTTAAAATAAGCTCCGTATTTCTTGATTTAAAAGTACTTAGCTTAGGCGTCGAGGGAAATGAAATTATCGATCAAATAATGTATGATATGTTACCTTTACTGATGATGATATTTGCCTGTGCTCTCTCAGTCCCAAACTCATTCGTAGCGATGCAGGTCAATATTCCAGACTGTTGCATATTTGTAATTGTTATCTGGGATCCTTGTCGTACACCCAAAGTATTACCTGCTTGGCCAAACTGTAATCAAAACAAAGACAAGTTCCATCAAACCGGAAGTCGTAATTTTAATAGACTTCACATGACAACATCTATATATTTTTTTTTATAAAATCTAATAGGAATTGTAACGTTGTCACATTTAGTAAAACATGAATGGTTTTGGTAAATACATTTTTAAAACTAATTTTTTGTTTGTAAAACAATTAAATAGTTTGTCTATTTTTTATACACCAAGATATTTATAGGTTGACAAATATTAAGAAAAACTCTTGTAATCTTTTGCGGTTCATGTAAAGTTGCATTCAGTAGGCCAGATGATTTTTAAAGATGTCATTTACATGATTAAAAACTAATGGGCAACTGTGATCGATGCAATTAAACTATTTGTTTTTAAAACGCCAACATGCTACTGGACCCCTGATGATTATTGACCTTGTTTATGTAAATTATAACGAGAGAAAAAACTCATCTAAAACTACTAACTTTGTTCACAGATAACTGTATACTTAAATGTTCAACAACACAGGTATATATAAATTATCTTTTATGTCTACGTTAGATTATCAATTTAAAGAAAATATGTTTTCGTACTGGTTGGAAGGTCCAAGTGACGGTTGGTTTGGGAACCCCATCAGCTTGACACGTGAAGCTGCCGTCAATTCCTGCACGGTTAAGTGATGATTTTGGTGGATTGGTTATTCTTGGAACACCTGAATATAATAGAATATGCAAATTATATGTTCATAAAAACTATTGTTAAATGTGATTTGCATGAAAGTGTCAACAATATTTATGGTGATCGCTTAATGTGATCCTTATCAGCTACAGCTACAACCCAAAGATCAGACCAATAAGGAAATCACAAAAGTATAAACAAAATACGGATAGCAGTGTCACCTTTCTTCATGAGCAGTCCAACTCACACTAAAAAAGACATACAAGTCAAAGAAAATAACTAACATAAAACATTGAAAATGTCATAAACTTAGAGTGCATTTCTTTCTAACCAAAATTTTGTAAACGTTGTGTTTGTTATCGTTTGCTAAACGCTACAAAAGAAGAAACAAATGCATCGTTTAATCCGTGTTTTCTGACCCTGTTTTGAACTTTCAATAATGCATGCACGTGTTGTTGGTAAACAGATGTATCCCCAGAAGTGAAATCAACTTCGAACCATTCTAAAATATTACAAGAAAGGTTAAATATAGAGGATACTTGATGAGGATAAGCCTACGTGTGCATGACCATAACCGAAACACCTCTTTGTAATACTGGTAATAAAACACATACCAGATATGAATTTCTATTCTTAAAAAACACACATAAGTCTCATACTACAAGCATGCAAGTATGAATTATGAAAAATGTATTCCACAAGAAAAAATATGTATCATTCACAGAGTTATACCAGCTCTAAATTACTCTAAATATATGCACATAGAAAATGGATGCATTACGAAGGATTATAATAAGATATACTGGATTGGTCCTGGACCCGATTGATTTTAATATATTAAAGGTTGAAGTTAGAAACAAATGTAGCGTTTGTACTAACAAACGACAAACGACAAACTGCAGACGCATTTTTAGCGAGTGCATAGTTCGTCAAAGTTTATGTAAACTTTGCAAACGTATGTTTGAAACAAATGATCAAAACATGTGCGCGCTTAGTCGTTTGCATCGTTTGTGCTAGAAAGAAATGCACTCAAAATAAAATTTGATAATACCGGTTGATATCACTGTTGGTGGACTTTGCTTCTGAGGATATCGTCAGCTCAGTAGTCAGTGTCTCAGTACGATCAGGATTTAAAAACACACCGTTCTTAAATTCACCGTTATTAAATTAAGAAATTATATATAAACTAGAGTTCCAAGTACCAGGCAAAGTTTTGGCTACTTATTCTTTTTAAGTCCCTTTTTGGTTCACGTATTCATGAAGTTATATATACATCATTGGCTTTTACATTTTTGTGTGTGAGCATTTCTGATCAAGGTAAATCCAGACAAGCACCTTGGACAATCAAATTTATAAAGTGTTATTTCATTTGATAAATTATGAATGTTTAAATTCTTCCGGACGAAAATTCACTTTGTTCACCATTCTTGGAAATCACAGTTGAAAATGTCCTTTTCTATAAAAAAACCCCCCAAAAAACAAACAAACAAAAACAAGGACATTTGGTATAATTGCAAGTGAGACAGCCATTAAAAACCAAAGGATATAGACGTGAACAATTACAGGTCACCGTAGGGTTTCTAAGTGAGAAAACATATGATAAGTAATTTAAGATCACCGTGAACAACTTTAAGTGTCACATCTGCTTTGCTAGTACCAACATCATTTGTAGCTGTACACGTATAAACTCCTTCCGTGGCATTCGTGGCTTGAAGTATGTGTAAAGCTTTTCCAAACGCCATTATTGCATTCTACGACAATAAAAAGATGATTATCAAATACACCAACCCTTTAATTGGATATCTTCTCTAGACGCGGAGGTGGCACTTTTTGCTATGATATTGAGATTGGATGTTTGCTGGTCAGTATTTATATTTCTTTTTTTTACATTTTTCTTTTCTTTTAAGTTTAAATCTGTTGGCAAAACCTTTCGAAATTTTCGGTCCTCAATACTCTTCAACTTCGTACTTTATTATGCCTTTTTAACATTTTTGATTGCAGCATCACTGATGAGTCTTTTGTAAACGAAACGCGCGTCTGGCGTATAAAACTGTTATCCTGGAATCTATGATGAGTTTTTCGTTACATGAGTGTATTATTTTTCCTTGTCTGCAAAAAGTTGATTTATATTACCTGTTGTGTTATTTAGTTTTTTTTTATAATTCTTATTTAAGAGCCAAATGTACCGGAATGCTAACCAGACTAGTTTATGACTATATCCATTCATGCACAAAAATTACAAGAAGGATGAAAACCATAATTTTTCAAATATTGTATTTCATTTCTTTACGTATACATGTGTGTTTTGTAAAATATAAGGTGGCAACAATAATAACAATATAATCTATACCTGTTGGTATTTGTATGTCCATGTAACATTTGGTACAGGGTATCCAGTGACTGTACATGTGAGGTTAACTGGTGTATAATAATTAGCCTGGACGACTGAAGGTGCCGAAATGCTTGGTGCCGTATGTTGTCTAGATGGTCTAGCTGAAATCAATGGATGGTAAAGAATTAAAAACTAGAGTTCTGAAGAAGCTGTTCTTACTAAATGTAAAAAAAGATACTTCTTTATTCAAATGTTTTATTTGTCCGTACTTAGTTTTCACATTGCCACTTGAAAAATAATTCGGATCATCTTAAGTACCTTCTTGTTGCATTATTAACATCGTATTTCATTTAAGATGATTCCCAAAGGATGTCGTATCCTTAGTCATTTCAATAAAGACCTATGCATCTTAAATCCACAAATGCTGCTTAACCGCATAGTAATTGTATTTCAGAGAAACTTTCTGAGATTCTCTAGTACTTTAATGACTTTCTGCAACTAATTTTAATCCAAAGGATTTTCGTAATTTTCTTTGCGTAACACCGACTAATTGTCCATCTCAAAACAAAAAAAAGTCAAGCTGATGTATGGTTTTGTGAACTCGGCGTACAGTTTATCTAGTTTCTTATTATTTTGATTGACTCGTTTTTGTTTTAACTTAATAGCTGACGGTTTAGTAAATCTAAGAGAATCTGTAAAGTGGTTCTTAATAAAGTATTTTTTTCCATTTTTTGCAAACACAAGCTTGTTTCAACACGTGACAAACGAAACTATATATTGTCATGTTTATTGATAATAAACTCAGATTTTTCAGTTGACCTTTCGTGTCTCTCTTTTATTTTCAAATTTAACAATGAAATGAATAGTAGTATAAATGTGCTATATTTACCCTTGACCATGACATGAACTACTTGAATATCCTCCCCTACTTCATTCGACGCCCTACACATGTAGAAACCGTCATCAGCCATTGTAATATTGTCAAATACTAAGTAGTGTGCAATCTGTTTGGCATTAGATGGTAGAATATTCTAAAATATTTCAAAATATAGAAACCTGCTACATACAAAAACAATATAATTTAGAATTTAAATTACAGTAATTATTAGATGTTTTCGCCCGTCATCTGTGTTCTTCAGTGCAACAATGTAATGTTATCGGCATTTGCCGAAGAATTCCACTCAAATCGGATCTAGGACCCATCATGAACTGACATGAGGTGTGCGTTTTGTATCACTTGATGCTTCAGAATATGAAAGTTGAATGATCATTCATCTTGTATCTATATATATAATAATAAACGGAAGCCCAAACCGAGAGTACTATAGCATACATACAATGTCAGATCCCCAAGTTATCGTCGGTGTTGGAATGCCCTCGGCATAACATGGAACTGACAGTAAACTAAATCCTTCCAAAACTGAGATAGCTGTCTTTAGTATAATTGTAGGCTTAATCAGTACTTTAGGGACTTAAAAATAAATATACACATAATGTTATTCAAAACTTGTATGTATGTAATTGTTTTGGCTAAAATTTGTAAACCTGGAAAACATATACAGTTATGGTGAAACATGTTCGTATTACTAGTATAACAGATCAATAGATTAATTCTTAGACACCATCTTAGTAATGGAAACTTCTGATAAGTATCTTTAAAACAAATGTAATGTTAGATCATGACAGACGATTAATGCACGATTATGATATGAGTAGACTTCAACTACAGTAGAAGTTTGAGTTCTCATTACGATAAACCATAACAAAGAATTTCCTCAATTCTAGTTTCTAGTGTCATTAATACTGACTTTTTAAATCAAATGGAAAAGAAGTGTTTTTCCCTGAGACAGTTTTACATTATATTGTCGTCTTACTGATTTACTGATTTTTATATATGTTATAGGCCTGGATAACATGTATGTTTATGAAAACATAGGTTATCTTGGCTGGTTTTCGAAAAAAGTAGATAACAAATCTGCAGGAAAGAAGTGAATGAAAATTTTTCGTCCTTAAACATGTTAAACGACCAGTACCTTCATAAACGTTTAATATTGTTACCCATCAATCTAATACAAATATTAGCAACATAACAATTTTACACTATATTATTCTGTGATCACTTTAAAACAATTTTTCTTTTGCAATTCATTACCTTTGAACAGGCTCATTATAACGACATTGAGCATTCAATATGAGTCAATAAGACCCCCGAAACTGTATTGAACCACATCAAATCAAATCAAACAAACCGGTCTGACACTGATTCCCTGTATAGCCATTTTTACAGAAGCACTCGTATTTTCCCAGTGAATTGACACATTTTCCGTTATGCTGACAAGGGTTACTTGCACATTCATCTATATCTGAAATATTTTGTTGATAAGTGATAAGTAAGTACAATCCATCATGATTGAAAAATTTTCGGATAAAGACTATTTACAAATGAAGTTCAATAGCAAAACCGGAAAGAAACTAAAGCGCGTTTTCTAAATAAAACTGACGATAGCATGCTACAGTTATAGAATACTGTTATATTAGACGACTATAGGTCGACAGGTTCTTCCGGTTGTAGACATAAACCCTTTCTTTTTCTCCGCTCTGGAAACAACGAATGCGAACTATCACGTTACTAGTACTTGAAACGAGAAATAGCTGAATAGGAATCGGTAATCCTTCCGGTAAACCTGAGTTCAAACCTTCCTTTGTTTCAAAGGACTTTGTTTTGTGTTGTGCTATATTATTTTGCAATGTCTGCGTTTTGTTCTGTTGGTAATGAACATGTCTCTCCGTTGTCAGTAAAACCGTGTTTTCCTTTCAATCTTTCACATTTGGTCAAGTTTAAGGGTTAGTGGATTTTGAAGTTTAGATAGGTTATAAACTTGGTGAGGTCTTAATGTGTGACAAGAGACATTTACCAATCTGATATCATAAAATGCATTATCAACGAAAAGGACTATATTAATGTTGTTCGAAGCAAAATATATAACACGATTAAACTTTTCAAAGCTCATATTTTAAAAGGAAATACTACTTTTAGACTTAAACCAAACATAAGCTAGCCAAATCAGTTTGTTACATTTTCAATACAAAAACTCATCAAACACAACAGGCTTGTATTAGTTGTAATGTGATTCGCCAGACTTGTTACGGCTTCATATGACTCATCAGTGGCACTCGAATCAAAAAGCACGAAAGGCTCAATCATACCCGAAGTTGAAGAGCATTGAGAACCACAATTCTGAAAAGTTGCGCCAAATACGGCTTTGACTGTCGTTGCCTAGTGATAGAAAAGCCGTAGTGTTTCGAATAATTCATCATTTTTTAAGCAACCATTTTACAGAAATGAACATAATTATCAATGATAATTCGTTTAAACACTAAAGTGATGACTCATTGAGTGGAGGTACTCTTGAGGACGAAATCTACAGTGGATTCGACCTCTTGGTTTCAAAATTACAAAAACTCATCAAAGATAACAGGCGTATAACTTGAGGTCATGTAAAATAGTTATTTACCTGTTTCACAATGTTTTCCAGTATAACCAGGTCGACAGGAACATGTATAAAATCCTATCCGATCTGTACAATTGGCACCATTATAACAAGGATTTGGCAAACAGTCATTAATATCTTAAATCAAACATTACAATTTATTTTATATGTTTCAATAAAAACATTGTAAGTCATATACAGCTAGGATGTATAGGTGTATTCCACATTCAGAGTGATTGGTGTTGTTTATTGCATACGTTTTAAAAAAAAAGTACTCGAATATTAGCTGGTACTTTGGAATTAGATCAATTTAAAGAAAAGGTATAAACTCTGTATGAATAAAGATAACATCGGAGTCGAACTATTTACCTTGTAATGTTAGAATGAAGAAAAGAAAAAATTAAATAGCAGCGACCACTATAGACAATGGTCCTTTGCCGTAGTTGTTCGTGTTGACCAGGCAAAATTTAGGTGTGCCAATTACAAAGATATGTAAGACATCTTAACAATAAACGTCGGACGTGAACTAATTAAATGTTTGACCATGACAGAAAAATGAATGCTGTTCGATTATCATATGAACTTTGTGTATACCTGCCATACATCATTTACAACATCATGTTGAATTCAGTTTTAATTGTTATCAAACACAAGATTTTCAAATATTCTAGTTTCTTGCACTGAAAAGCATGAAATTATGAGATTCAATGGAAAAGTAGCGCTAAATAAGGAGAGTTGGGACAGCTTCACGTAATATTGTTTAAAATATAGATTTTAGATATGTACTAGTAAATAATAGTTCTGCATAACATATTTGAAAACAAAGATTTTATCGCGTTTGTCTTCGATAAAAGTAGGCTAAACAGAAAACAGAAGTAAATGAAAAGGTTCTTGATTGATGACTTTTGAAAGCTTGTGTTTTTTTCATTTTCAATTCACCTTTGAACTTTCATAACGTTTTATACTGTTTCACTTCATCTAGTACACACATAGCAAAAATATCACTTCAATTCATACACAATGTTATTTTGTGAATAATTTTAAAAAATACTTCTCTCTTCAGTACCGTTTCATTTTACAGCCTCATCAAAACGGAATTGGGCATTCACCACAAGTTAAGAACCCATAAAACTGTCGTATCCTACACCAAATCAATCAAACCTGTTTGACACCGATTCCCCGTAAAGCCACTTTTACATAAGCACTCGTACTTTCCCAGTGAGTTTACGCATTTACTGTTTGGTTGACAAGGATTACTTGAACATTCATTTATATCTGAAATATTTAATTGAAGAATGATTTCAAATACATTTCCTAGTGACTGAAAATTGTTAAGTTATCTAATTTCCCCATGACAAAACCGGATGTTATAGTTTATCTTATTGAAATGCTATATTTCTCGTCCCACAGACAATCGTCCATGAAGGCACTTGTAATATACTATCAAAATAAAAAATGCAATAATGTGTTTCTATATGTATTAATTATAAGCGTAGCATCTATGAGAATAAAATGACGCAACGCAACTTCATCAAGAATCTCAGATAATGGCATTTGTGTCATGTTGATACTACATGTGGTTCTTAAGAATGAAATAAATAAATCGTCAAAATTTGAGACTGAGCACAACGCAGATAGTCACATAAACCAGACCATCACCATCATAGCTTGAAGCCACCTTTAAACGTTTGAAAGGCCTTACTATGTATTGGGGTCTTAAACTACAAAAAATATCACGTCATCTAGGGTTCTTTTAAGTGAACCACAACTAACCTTGCTGTCCTTTTAACTAGTCCTCAGAGTACCATTTCATAAGTTATTATTAAATATTGTAATAAAGCAGTAAAAAATACTATCTACTTTAGTATATGCTGCAACCCATAAAAAGCCCTTCCAGTGTAATGAAAAAGATGAATATTCTGTATATACTCACTGGAACTGCGATAAAATTGTTAAAGATATAAAAGAAACGCAAAAGAAGGGATAAGTCGAAAACAAACTGACAATGTCATGGCAAAAAACGACGAAACGACAAAAAACAGCATACGAACTAAAGACTGAGCAACACGAACCCTAACAAATCCTGGGTGATCGCAGGTGCTCCGGAAGGATACGCAGATCAAGCTCCACATGTTGCACTCGTCGAGTTGCTCATGTAACATTTCTTGTTTACAATGTCAATATAAAAACAAAGAGATGTAGTATGATAATCAAAGAGTACCATTTCATAAGTTATTATTAAATATTGTAATAAAGCATTAAAAAATACTATCTATGTGCTGCAACCCAGAAAAAGGCCTTCCAGTGTAATGAGAAAGATGAATATTCTGTATATACTCACTGGAACTGCGATTAAATTGTTAAAGATACAAAAGAAATGCAAAAGAAAGGATAAGTCGTAAACAAACTGACAATGTCATGGCAAAAAACGACGAAACGACAAACAACAGTATCCAAAATACAGCATACGAACTAAAGACTGAGCAACACGAACCCCAACAAAACCTGGGTGATCGCAGGTGCTCCGGAAGGGTACGCAGATCCTGCTCCACATGTTGCACCCGTCGTGTTGCTCATGTAAGTAACATTTCTTGTTTACAATGTCAATAAAAACAAAGAGATGTGGTATGATAATCAATGAGACAATTATTTACAAGAGACCAACAAACGAGGATGAAAACACATCTGCGTTTTAGCTATAAATTGTATCGACAAGTTATATGTATTCATATGGGCATAAATAACGCCACTTTTAAATAGCAAACTTGTTCATGCATTGTAATGAATAGTTTTTGCAAACCGCAGCTAAAACTCGTCTTAATTCCTTTTAATAAAAAAAAAATAATAATCTTGATGATATTATTTCTTTAAATAATCAAAAGTCATCCTTTTTACCTGGAAATTAACCACAGGGATCCGGTAATAAGATACATGTAATATTTATAGCAATAGTTGTCCATTTTTTAATGGGATGTTTTAATTTACAAAGTTAACTATACAAAATGAATACAAAAGATGCGATTTACATGTATCCATTCCTATTGTGCCTTATTTATTTTACATTCTTTCGCCATACCCTTCTCTGGTGTGACGTAAATTTTAGTGAATTATATCTATGTATAAAGTATTATGTTAAGTATTTTTTTACCATAAATAACTTAAAATCGTTACTTAATTCTGTCATACATGTATGTACGAGAATTGGTTATGAAGATGCTCTGTATGTGTAAAATTCATATTATAGACGTGATATGACGTCTTAATTTGACGTTGATGTTGTTCACAGAGCTCCTTAAGTGTGATACGTATTAGCCCTATGAAGAAACATTTCTAAAAGATTAATACATTGTAATAAGATCTTTGGATACTGTCTCTATCGGTACTTACATTTATTTAATTCTTGATATTTTGATGCAAAACTAAACATGATTCTACATCTAAATGATACACATACCTTTGCTTTACACAATATCATGTTTTTCAGACTGCTTATTACGTGTAAACTTAAAATTTACATCAGTTGGAAATGAAGTGATTGTCAATTTAGTCTAGAATAACATTGGTTTTTTATAGGTTGAATTTGGGCGTTGAATTAGTTTTAAGAAACTGCTAGTAATCTTTGGCTCGTTAGTTGTGAATGTGCTGCCTTACAACGACCTAATGAATGAAGACATTTTCTTCTTATATTTACAGTTTGCTTTTATAATAATAAGAAGATGTGGTATGCTTGCTAATGAGAGAACTCTGCACTAGAGACCAAATGACATAGAAGTTAAAAACTGTAGGTCGCCGTTCGACCTTCAACAATGAGCAACACCCATACCGCATAGCTTATGTTGTGTTGGCTGAGGTGAAAGGGGTGGTTGAGATCTCACTTACATGTATAAACCTGCCATATTCTTTATGGGAATGTCCCTAGACAGGAGTTGGTAATTCAATGCTTGCCGTAGGTTACTGCATGTCCTAATCATTGTACGTTAATTCGTAATGCAAACATGCAATAATGGTATTGGTTGTATCTTTGAATTGTTTCTTATTTTTGTCATCGAATGACATCTCGGGGCCTTTTATATATACTATACAGTTTCGGTTTTGTCAGTTGTTGTAAGCTTTATGATGACCAACCCTGTAATTGTTCACATCTTTATCTTGTGGTTTTTAATTGATAGTTGTCTAATTTGCAATCATGCCCGGTCTCTTTGATTCCATAAACATAACTTTATCATGCATTAATTTCTGCTTCTACTTACATGCATTGTAACCACGCCTTTACATAAACTCATCACAGATACTTGGCGCCAGACGTGAATAAAAAAAGTTTAAAAGGCCAAATAAAGTATGAAGTTGGAGGACCCTAAATTCCGAAAGGTTTTGCTATCTATTCATGGGGTAGAAAATCCTTACTATTTCGAAAGTTCTAAGTTTTGTAAACAGTTAATTTCTAACTATGACCATATTAATGATAATTCATGCATGTCTACGTGGTTGGTGATACCCTCGGCAACGAAACCTCCACCAGCAGTGGCATCAACCTAGTGGTTGTAAATAGACTCATCACAAACAATAGGCCCAAAATGTTGCCGACCAGACACGCGCTTCGTCTACAAAAGACTCATCAGTGACGCTCGTATAAAAAAAAGTTAAAAAAGGTCAAATAAAGTACGAAGTTGAAGAGCATTGGGGATCCAAATTCCGAAAGGTTTGTCAAATACAACTATAACTTGATTTCAAAAATTTACTTACCTGTTTCACAATTTGTTCCAGTGTAACCAGCTCGACAGGAACATCTATAAGACCCTGTTTGATCTGTACAGTTGGCACCATTATGACATGGATTTGGTAAGCAGTCATTAATATCTTAAAACCACACATTAATAGTTAAATGATATACTTCACTAAATTATAATAAGCAGTACAGGCTAAGGCATTATAACTCTAGTTCTAATTCTTGGCTACAGGTGTTGAATGATCGCATAAACCAGACCATCACCATCATAGCTTGAAGCCACCTTTAAACGTTTGAAGGGTCTTACTATGTATTGGGATTTTAGACAACAAAAAAATATCACGTCATCTAGGGTTCTTTTAAGTGAACCATAACTAACCTACCTGTCCTTTTAACTAGTCCTCAGAGTACCAT